GTTGAAATGCAAAAAAACTGTGCCTTGTTCGACTGAGAGCATGTGAAACTTGCATTGCATTGTTTCATTGGCCACCCTGCAGAAACTTTATCTGAACCACAAGTTTTTGCAAAAAACACGGACTAACCGCAAAAAAAATTGCACTAAACAACGCTTTAACTAGAAATAGAATCGCTCACAGCAATCAGAATCTATCCAGCCCCAAAGTTCGGGCAAATTTGGCGGTGTAAGAAATGATAAATCAACCAAGAACTCGAAGATACCCAGAAAATAAGTAATCAATTTTGAAAAACTGGGAATTCTTGTGCTCTAATTATTACTTGCTGTGTGCTTTTAATTTCAAGCATGAACACACCCATAGAAAAATGACCAAAGAGCTGATGGAAAAAGCATTTAATTTCTTAACGACGTTCCGTTTTGCAATCCTTCACAATGATCAAAGTTTGCTTGTAACGGGATCTTCCTACAGGAAAGATTTAAAAATACCAGAGCTTAAAAAACTAGTTAAAGAAAAAAAGGTGCGTCATTGATCAATAAAAAATCCTTCCCATTGCTTGTTCAATTCCAACCAAAAAGTCTCTTCAGTTTTATTCGTACAAAAGTACTTTCGAGTAAAAAATTACAATCAYACAAAGACACGTCTTGGACTTCGCACATAAATCGTTAAAAATTTCRGTTTGCATTTCCAAACCATGCAATAACAGGATTTTTCATTTTTTGCTCGAAAATGATCCGTCACCCAAMGAAACTAAAGAGAGCTTTTTTGTTTGGAATTGAACAAGCAATGAGTCTTAATAATAATAAAGTTTGCTAGAATCTTTGAATCCWCCTTGCATAAGGATCSTCTGGAAAAAGACAGTTACMCTGTTCTCAAAATTTGGCGACCTKTYCACATATTTATTTAGGCATMYTCAGGATRTTGAGCTGCATCGGCTCCGAAGGTGCCTAGATAAACCTAGGCGAAACGTCGGCAACTTTCCAAAACAGGCTGTCGTTTTAACATTGAGCCAAATCACAGAAGAGAAGCGAACTACTAGCGAAAGAAACCCGCTGGCATTCGAAACCGACTAGTGCGTCCTCCGTGTCTTCATTCATCAACTGTTTTAAAGACTTTGAAGGTTTGGAGGAAAACTACTAAGTACTTACTTGAGTCTTCCTTAACTGCACCAGAATCCACATTGCCATTCTGCTTAATCACTGGTAACTCATCGATACAGTTCGCACGGCTTGTGGCAACTCCGTTCACTTTCGCTGCGTCTGTTAACTTAGGAACTGTGACACTTTTCAGAACTTGCACATCGGCAACTTTCTTCGGACTGGCGAGTGGCAGCTGCGCCCGAAACTCCGGCCTCAAGTGGCGCAGAACCGGCAAAGACGCATTGCTGTTGCCCTCCTGTCTCATCATGACCGGTTCCAAGTTTTCCTCATCCGAAAGCTTTTCCGGGATGGTTTTGTTGAGTTGCGTGTTCGCATCCTCGCTTTCAGACAAGCGGTTCTTCTGGCGCTTCGATACAAAAAACCCTTGGGCCAGAGCGCCGGGCCCATAAAGCCTCTCCACTCTCTGCTGGATGAAGGACTTGGTCTCTTTGCCATTGGTGAACTCTTTGCTTATGGTCGTGCTGTCAATGTTCCCGTCCATAGTCCTGCTGTAGGCAAAGAGCTTTGAGGATTGTCGCACACAGGCATCGGTAGCGTCTTTGGATGGATCCAGACTATTGGAGAAGTGATGAGACTCATTGCTGAAGAACGTGACAGTCTTCGTGTAGCAGTAGTAGTCCTTGGGCTGATGGGCTCGCAGGGCCTCATCCGACATGGTGCTCTCGATGGTGGTCTTTGGTGTCGGAAGCGGCACTAGATTGGGTGGAGACAGCAAGTTGTTGGTCACACTGTAGGCTGCTGATGGCTGCTCTGTCAGATAATGGTTGGCATGGTCGATGCGATGAGGAGAAGCATCTCGGGATCGGGCCAAACGCACTGGATCGTAATTGGTTGTGGTCGAATACCCGTTCACAGTACAGGCTAAACTTAGGTATGATGGTAGATGATGCTGCTGCTGCTGTTGTCGTTCCACTTGCGGAGCCAAAACCTTAGAACCGCACAATGTTCCGGTGGAGCCGACTTCTGACCAATCTGCAAGCCCACAAGCAAGTAATCAGATTAAACAAACGGCGACAATATAATTATTAAGGTGAGTTAAAAGTGGGTTATTCAACCTTGACTTGTGGCTGAACGCCTACTTGTATGTTAATAGAAGCAATGAAAGAGAAATTTTTAAGCAAACGTTTGTAGTGCAGTTCTTGTCCGGGCGGTGGGAACCCGCCACGTTCTTACAATAGGCAAATATGCTTATTCATCTTCACTCAGGTGCCATTCTAATCGGGAGATTTGCTTTTGGGGCACCCGATTCTATTTTACACCGCCGACAAAGTCTTCCGTATTCACAATGCTATTTTTGAGCAGATAAGAAAGAATAAGAAGTAAACACAAACAAGCATTTATTTGTATTCAATATGACGATTTCGATTGATTCTCATTTTAGAGCCCTCGAAGTTCTCCGGTCCTTTACGGAGGTAAAGAACCAACTATTGATAAGGATTTCCTTCATTTAAACTTAGTAGTGATTTCATAATTATTTGCTCATTTAGGTGCGACTCCTCATTATATCGATATTCAAATATTGCCTACTTGTTGTTGAACTTGAAAACGAATTAATTGTGCAATTTTCCAGCTGTTCTTGAAAAGCGAACACTTCACGCTTTTGGGTTGTTGTTATCAATTCTTTGCGTGTTTTCGCCAAACTCCACTAGTAATTAGAATATTTGCATATACAAAAATAGATGTGATTCACGTCGAGCGTATTTGCTAATATCTAAGCAAGTGTTTTTCAAATAAATATCCCTACATTTATTTAGGGTGGTGGTTCGAAATTTGCCCCCTGGTCCGTAAGGGTTCAGTGGGAGAGAACGAAGTTCTATTTATCTCAAGAACAAGTTCCTGTCTAGATTGAAATAATGGAAGAACATGGAAAAATACACCCAATAAAGGCTAGTTAAGCATTCAAATGAGTAACATGACTGGGAATTGTTCGTTTTTGCAAATACTTTCTGGTTTCACTTGTTATCAATATCGATTTACACACATTAAACCTACGTGTATTTACCTAATGTTTATGCGGGATAATGCTGATAGCAGCGGCGATTTTCCTGTTTGGCATTTAATTTTTTCACGAATTTTGAGCTTGTTCTTTGTGTATTCTTCTTAAAGTTGGTCTATTTTGAATCACCCTGTGTATTTTAGATGGACCAAACAACGGACTTTAAACTACAA